TGACCTGTGCTTCAAGAAGCTGTGATTTTGAGTCAGAGAAGGGAACACTTTGAATTGCTTCCATTGGATAATGGACCTGAATAAACAACCTACCATTAATTATGCATGTACCAAGTCAGCTCAAAGCAATTCGTTGACAGTAAATATGGCCCTAGATGGAACAAAATGACAGAAACAGGTATAAAAACTCCACACATACAACACCAAAGAGTGAAGGTTAAGTTTCTTTGAATCAAGTTTGAAACAACATCACCACTAAGAGTCATTAATTTAACTAACAAAAGAACATTCACGACAAGGCCACACAAGCTAAATCCAATATAGAGGCATTACCATGAGATAGTCATCTGGATTACCATCAAGGACGAAACCATAGAGATAAAGTAGTTCCTGCATCAAACACAACATAATGGCTCTCATTCAGAAAGTTGATGAAGCTTTTCATATGATGAAGTGGATGAGAAAAACATGATCTGGGATAGCACTAAGCAGAGACAAAGTAGTTTGAAATAGAGTTTTCCAAATGAGAATGCATGCTCAAAGGATAAAAAAAAGTTCACACGCAATGCAAGAAGTAGCACAAATGAAACACAATTCCAGAATACAAGCAGAGGGCCAAGGCAACCAACCACTTTGGGGATATTATGTTAAGTTACAAGGAAGAAGAGCAAGTCACCAGTTAAGAGGTATGCAGAGAAAGCACTACATTCTAAAAGTAAGTTTGGTATCAAATGACAACAGACAATACCTCATTTCCTTTGTTACCATAACTTATAGAAATTTCTCCCTGAATCTGCAAAGGTTGGACAGCTTTCCAATAGAAGGGGAAAAAAGAAGAGGAATATAAGTAAGATAACCAAGCACATTGAACCAACGAAAAGAAATGAAAACTAGTAAAACTTCATAAGAAATTGTCAAAATGAATATATACACAATGAAACCATTTTGGGATCTCATAACCCAACATAGAAAAAAAGAACAGAAGTGGACGAATGGAAACAAGTATTGTGAAAATTCAATAGCAACAGTCGCGGTTGCATAAAACATGTACCCTATGAAACCAATACGAGATCTCATGATTACCTACAACATAAAAATATTGATTTTCAGCAAGAAAAATGAGCTACGAGCTGCTGAAAGAAACAGAATACTACCAGAAAGAAGGTACATAGAAAAAGGAATTCCAGTTGTTGATCCAGTGTCATCAACTTCCCACGTTGCTGCAGCCTTTAGATCTGAACAGCCACATGATTTCAGCTGGTAAGGTATACTGCAAGCATATAAGGAAATGAAGTCTCTCTCTCTCTCTCTCTCTCTCTCTCTCTCTCTCCCCAAGATATGGTTCCATCAGTATCCTAAGCTTCATGGTATACTGGTACGTAAAATAAGACAACAAAACAAGTTCAGGCTCCAGTATTCGCTAGAATCAAATGAGTTGAACTACTACAAGGGCTCCATGATTTAGAGGAGTTCACCCTTGAACAAAGGTTATTAGAATATTGTGGATTTCGGAAAATAAAAATTTCTAAAATTTCATAGACTTGATAAGCAACTAGCATACCATGGTTGCAAAAGTCAATGCCAGGAACAAGACCCTCCACCCAGACAGTCTCTTTTTGTTTTGATGTGGATGTCACTCCATTGACTTGAATATCAACCCCTTCAACCTGACATCCTAAATAGAGAAAGCACTACTATTAGTACGAATAGGAACATTTTATATCATGAAATACCAAATCAAGCACCAAGTATCTAATGATTAAAGTATATTGGAAGATTTCTCATAAAGCATCAGCCAAGGATGACTTTACCTTTTTCATCCATTCCATTAGCCAACTCTTCCATGCAAATATGAGTAGTAGAAACCTCAGAATTTTTGCCATCTGAAGCACTATCATTTTTGTTTTCTTGAATTTGGGGAAATACATAGGAATAGGGAAGGGGAATATTTAAAGCACGGGTCCAAAACAAAGAATTTGCCCTAGCATGACAGCCAATTGTGAAGCATAAGGAACAAAGGTGTAGAGCACCATGAACAGACATAATTAAGAAGAGGATTCAATTAGAAAAATCATCAGATTATTCACGAAGATGGTACCTACCAAAGGAAATCTTCAAAGCAAACATCTCTGAAAAAGAAGCAACAGGTATGGTATATGATCAGTAACTAAGCACAGTAATATTGAAAATGCATATAACTATCGACAATGTCGTTCAACATGTAATTTTAGATAGCATCTATCAAGATTATATGACACACCATTCACTACTAAGTCAGATAAAAGCTTATTTGCAAAAAAAGATGGACAGTCCGCCATCAAATACCAGACTTCAAGAGTTTGGACCATTAAATTTAAATAGAAGGGTCAGTTCATATAAAAGCAGCACAAGCACACAGACACCTGATTACTCTATAATGAAACTACATAGGTCCACCAACTGGAGAGACTCCATGATAAATTGTGGTCCAAAGTCTGAGTATCAAAAATTCTGAATAATGTTTTCACATAATTTCAGCATCAGCAGTTTATTTATTGATCCAAACATTAATTAGGACAAGAAACAAGACAGTACAATCACCACAAGAAAAGATTTGCACAAACCTTTAACTTTATTCTAAGCGTTTACCGAGAAGCTCAAAATGAGAATGGTGCAGGATAATTAGAATATTAGTATTGGAATTTCTAACAAAATGACCAAAAGGTATAAAATTAATTATTACTAAACTAATCATTCATGTCATAAAGTACCTCTGTGATTGCTGAAATAAATACTTACATGCCCTGAAAATCTAGTAAGAAACATATATTATGTAAATGACTCGATAGGACCAACTAATTTCATTCTCCTTTGATAATTACATGGGAAAAAAATTCAATTTTCTGACACACCTTTCTAAATCCCCATCCAGAGTTAACAATTTCTCCATCAGAGTCTTCAGTTTACCATCATATAAAGACCGCAAGCTTTTCTTCTGTAAGATAAACCTGTCTTTGGTCACATATACTACACAAAGAATATAAACTACTTAAACCATATTTGACAGAACTAAATAATTAGATACTTTGTAAAACCACATAAAACAAACAAAGCTTTGGTATGCTGGGAAGCCTACTGAGCTTAGTGTGAAACCACATAGAAGTAATTTTCAGCATGAATATCAATCAAGTTCAATCTAAAAGCCCCTACAAATGGCAGTATCAACATCACAAAAACTACAATTGCAACCAAAAAGCCCGATCTATACCTTTCATCATCTTAGAAGACCATAATGAACCATCATTGCATGGAATTTTCCACATTATACAGCATGTACATGTATACAATCTACAAGTTAGTGTTTAAATGTCATGGCCAGATGCCCAAATATCTTTTACCTGCAATTCAGTTGCTCTATACAATGTTGTCCCTTTTAGCTCCAAAAGCTCATCATCAGTAAACCATAGTGGATTGCCAAAAGTAGTCGGAAGCATATCAAGATACCTGATGTTATCCCAACTGAAGCTCAGACAACAAAGAAAAGAGAAAATTGGTAATTGATCATTCAACAAAATGCATTCTATACATACGGCTTCCAAGAAGAATTCTTGCGGACACGCTCCACTGTTAGAAACAAAATCATCAAGAACCTATCATCTACATCTCCTTCCTCAAACATTGCTCTACATTCTGGTCCAAGAAGAGGATCTTGCAAAACTCTCATAGGAGTTATTGCTAAATCCAGAGGAACAACTAATAGAACCCCTGAAATTATTTCAAAAAATAAATCAAAACTATGCTCTAATCTCGGAGTGTTGCAACCGAGAATGTCACACATTTTAAAAAAAGATAGAACATCTTAAACTAGAATGTGAAATTTTTGGGACCCTTTTCTTATAGTGTGATTTTATTGGGACACATTTTACCCATGGATTCTTAACTAGGGTGGACGTGAGTGGGTTGGCCGAATTAGGAGATATGTCCATGCTTGCCCAAGGAACAGAATTCCTGGGGGTTTCGCATATGTTTTCCCAAGTAAGTTCTCGGGTTGCCCAAATCAAAGTATCTTAAGCAGATTGCACAAAAAAAAACTTAAAAGAAAAATCTTCAATAACTAATTTAAACAAACGTAACTTGTTGTATATAAGTTGTATCTGTAAATAATTTAGACAAAGAACCATATGAAACATGAAATGCTTATTGTTTAAAACGAACTCCTCATGTTGCTCAAGTCAGATAGACTCTAACCCGTGTTTGCCCAACCTTTCATTCGGGGGTTAAGAACTTATGTCCATGTTTACTCAAATTATCAAACATATTTGATCAAATTCCCCAAATTTGAGTTGAAGTACTAGTTGATAAGGTTCGTCCAACCCAATACCCATAGAAGTTTTCAGACAACAAAATGAGTAAAAGCATAGACAAACAAAAACCCAATAACTTATGCGCAAAAGAAAGAGCTGGGTTACCATCAGAAACTTCATTAGACGAAAAAATGCCAAACCCTTTGCTGGAATCAGAGTACTTGATCTTGCACCCACGTAACTCCGCTCCATTAACCTGAATTCGAAAACCCAAATGATCAAAAACACAGTTGCAGTATTTGGTCAGTGATGAAAGCTTAGAGGAGAATGCAAACATATGGCCACCTGTAACCACTGGAGAAACCGCTCGAGCTTGGCCTCTTCTAGTGAGCTCGCCATTGCCGTGTGCGCCACTCTGAGAGTTGGCTTGGTTTTTGAGAGAGAGACAGAGAGAGAGAGAGAGAGAACAAGCAATGGGGTTTTACTAGCAGGATAGCAGCTTCAAGTGTTTCTATGTCGTTTCGTTCTATGTATTGTCGTCGAAATGTCGGAGGCCACGTGCCGCGCCTGTGTTACTCTAAAATGAAGGAGACAAAAACAAAGGGGATGTATCATCCCTGTTTATTTGGACCCAAATTTCATGCAGTGAGAAAAAGCTGGTATTATCATTTTTGGTTTGCTTTTATTTTACATGTTCTTACCCATTTCCAATTTCCTCAAAGTTGATCCAGAAAGTTCTCATGCATGATCTCATTTAGCGACAATCTTGTAATTTTTTTGCTCAAAATGTAGTTACTGAATTTTTTATTTTTTTTATTTATAAATGTTCTGAAGAAAAATGTGCAACCATTTCGACATTGCATTGCATTCTGTGATTTGCCCAGAAGAAAAGACATTGCCTTGCATTCTCTTAGTAGGCCATTGTGTTCTTTTGGGGTCATTAGAGACGGAATGCTGATGGGTGGGTGATCGTCAATTTGTGACTTTTGCCGATTTCTCTATCTGGGTTTCAGGGTATGTGTCTCTGGTACTGATCTTTGCCATGTTCGGTATGTCCGTACATGGCCTTTTTTAGCTGAGCTTAATACTTATAGAAATGCTGAGCTTGCTTTTTCTTTGGTGGACAAAATCTTAAACAGTAATTTTGTGTTCAAATTTCGTAGCTTCTGTAAATTACTTATCCTGTTAGATTATATGATTTGTGTATGACCAATGTTTTAATACTCAAGCTCGGTGCCCTTTTGATACTCGAACCTTATTTTGGGTCGTAATAAATTCGTCTTGCTTTTCTTACTTTGAAAACATTTTTAAGATTATTTATTTTATAAGAAATTTTTCAGGCACACCTGACCCTAGATATAACACACAAGAGATGAAGAGTCCAAGTTCACAGCTACATAGTGCTGCAATATTTCCATCTCCAGCTTTTTTATGGAGGTTCAAGGTTGGTTTCTTTTATTTTTTTAATTATGTCATTTGCAAGCTTATAGCATTGATCTTCATCTTTATTATTGAACATTTAGCACATTAACCTTTCAGGTACTACTTTTCATGATATGGGGATTCAGTTGTTGCAAGGTCAGTGTTAATCCTTCTGTTCTCGATATACTTTTAGGAGGTTATGGATACTTTTAATGCATTGTATGGTGAGACTTTCTATCATTTAGTTACTATTGAATTCTTCTTTTCAAACAGATTGGATGGGATTCTGTCATGAGGATGAGTGCAGATTTGCGTAATTTGTTCTTATATGAGGTGTTTTTGTATTATAACCCTCTCCTCATAGTGGTGAGTTTTAGTATTTTTTTAACTTCTTTTTTATTAATTCCAGATAAGGATTTTTATAGCAGCTTATCTGTAGTTCTTTTCTTTTTTGTTGCAGACCTTGATGGTTTGGGTCTGGGGAGTTAACTTATGGGTTTTTTCACAGTCCAATGTTGGTTATGCACAAATATTTGATCTTGATCAAAATCATCTCACTCACAAAGAAATATGGAAGGTACTGTGGTCTCTTTATCTTTTGTGGCTGTAATTAAACAGTAAATTTTATGCTGAGGTTAAATATTTGAATGGCCTTTTTTGATCCTCTATATGCAAGAAACAAAATTTGCAACCACCACCTATCCAGATTTTTCGTGGAAATCTTAATCCATTTCTCTAAAGATTTATGCATTAGTTCCCAAATGGTGGCTTTAATATGGAACTATAGTGCACAGTAAGTTTTACGACAAAAAGTGACAGGTTAAGGTAAGTTTTTCAGGAATTAGGTTCTAAAATTTTAGGCCGGGGTGGAATTGTTCAATCTTGATTTACACATGGACAATTTGTATATGCATGCACATGTGTTCCAATTTACGAGCTTGTGCATGTTACTTGTATGCATGTATATGTAATTTGAGCATCACCAAGGCAGATCCTTGCTACACCATGTGATTTGTGCACACTTGTGCAAAACATCAAGGCCTGCTTAGTTGCTCCTTCAAAGTCTCTACTGGTCTAAACTCTTATATTAGGCCTCTTCTCTTTACACCACTCAATTGTGAGATACATAAAATATTATTCCATTACTGCAAATCCAGATTAATTACTCAATGTCTAAGTGACCACATATAAGTGACCTTTTTTCCTTGTGACACGTAAGTGATTACCTTTTCAAAGCAATCTGTCCCTTCTTCCATTCATGAACTGCATCATTTAATATTTGTTTTCATTTCTTATTATTATGTCAAATAAGTTACTCTATACTTGTATGTTTATCCCAATTGACCTTATTAATATCACCAGAAGTTAATGCATGTTTCTTTTTCTCCTTTTACCTTCCTGGTGCTGAGCTGCTAATTGTTCGGTTTTCTTATATGCAGTGTAGCACTTGGATGACAATCACTGTCCCTACTAGCATGACCGCGTACCTTTATTTTTACTCCAATGGAAATGTATCATTGGCAGCATTACAACCAGTGTATTATCCGCCTTGTCTCTTAAACTTGCTTCTAGATTTGGTTTCCTTGAATTTTGATTGCATGATTACGACAGTAGTTTTCATTGGTTTTTTTTAATTTACCTCGCTCTAATATTTTGATGTGTTTGAGATATTGATCACTCTCATGGTTTTTTTATTTGAGATATTGTCTGGTATTATGTCTTAGGAATCTGCGTGATGCAGCAAATTCTCTGCATCATGCTGTACAACTTACAAATATATGTTCTTTTGTATGTATTTTATGTGCCTCTGTTTTATGGTATTAGAATCATGCCTCACTAGCCTAGACATTCTATTTTCCACATCAGATAAATGTTTCTAAGTGGTCTATATACTTGTTGCAGGTATCCCTGTATATTGCTGTTGCTATGGTTCTGATATCCCCCTTTGATATTTTCTATTTGTCATCTCGTTACTTCTTGTTAAGGACACTATGGAGGATAGCTCTTCCATTGCAGGCAAGTGTTTGTCGTGTAGCTTGCATCTGTGGTACTTGACAGAGGCACATTTTACACACAAAAATTTGTCTTTGGGCAAATTTTATAATATGGACTGTTGTGCTTGCACGTCTTCCCTCAGGACTTATTCCTACTCAACGTTTGACAAGATTGCATAAGTTAAAAATTTGAGGTTCCTTCAAATTGACAAGTTTTATTTTGCTTTTGGGTGCACAAGTACAATAAGTATTTGATCTTTTAATTGTATGCTTATAATCCACCATGGAAAACTTATTAGAGGAAATCAGAGGGGGAAAAAAGCTGTATCTATTCAAAACAGCATGGGTCAACACATGGATATTTTCACCTTTTGGTGGATGAAATTCATAGTGCTAATATTTTTGTCACTTAAACGAACTTGATCTTTACAAAATGCAGGCAATATCATTTCCCGACTTTTTTTTGGCTGATATCCTTACTTCTATGGCAAAGGTATGAATCTATGCCTCTTATAGTAATTGTCTAAAAACCATCACATGTTTCTCTTTGATCCATCACTCTGTCAATTTAATATTAAACATATTGTGTTTAATCTAAGTTGCTACTTTCCAATCTCTCATCTTACCTTCAGAGTGTTACTGTTAAAATAATTTGGTTCTTAGAAGATTAATTGCATTTATCCTTCCTTTTTCTTGTGATTGTTAATTATTAATTGGATACAGGTGTTTTCTGATTTGGAACGTTCAGTTTGTAGAATGGTTCATAGGCAGGTATTGTTCTAGCATTGAATTCATTCCTTATGCATGTCAATTGTCAAAATCCAACTAACCTTGGTTTTTTTGGGAGGATTATTCTTCCATTCCTCTTTTAATATCTAGAGTTCTGATTCGTGTTTCTGCATCGTTTATTAATGGACTTGTCCATCTGCAAGTCCAATTCTGATTCATTTGATTTTAGCCTTTGCGCTATATGTGTGAATTTTCTCCTGATCTAGCAGATATAATTAAGATGAGATTTCTTTTATTATGCAGGTTGCCACTATCGCATGGCTTGAAGCTGATTCAGTTTGTGGCAGCCACTCAATTGCAATCCCTCTAGTGCTTGTTTTTCCTTATCTTTGCCGTTTATTTCAATGTCTTCGTCAATTCAAGGATACAAAAGAAAAGACAACCCTTTTCAATGGTAATAGCTCTTGGTAGTTTGAGTGCTTGTTATCTATGGTTGTGATTCTGGTGAATTGTTAAATGCTCTGGCTTCCCCTTTTTTTTCCAGATAAATTGCAACCAAGCTTGAAAAATAGTTACCTCAGCTCTACTTTCTTTTTCTGCTAACACTGTCATATCTTTTTAACACCATACAACTCTGCTTTTCAGCTTTAAAATATTCGACTGCGGTCCCGGTGATTTTTCTTTCGGCCCTTAAATATCATGTCTTCCCTGATAGGTGGACAAATTTCTACTCCCCACTTTGGCTTCTGTCAAGTGTTGTTAACTCCCTCTATTCCTTCTACTGGGATATAGCTCGAGATTGGGACTTGAGGTATGTTTATTTTCTCAACCATTTTGAAGCCTTTATATAATCTTCTCACTTCAATTTCAACTGTACCCCTTGCTTGACAGTGGTTTCTCTCGGATTTTCAAGTTCAGCAGATCGAGTATGCTTTCGAACATGTTCTATGGACGAAAATGGGTAAGGTGTTAGTGAGTTAGACACCGTTACGTGCCGGTGGACAGAGCTTTTACTGGAGACGTTATCTCCCTTTCATAATGCAGGTTTATTTCTGGGTAATAGGAAGCAACCTGGTTCTGCGATGCACATGGACGTACAAATTGTCTTCTCATCTCCGTCACAACTACTTGACGGTGTTTACAATCACTGCATTGGAGATTCTTCGGCGCTTTCAATGGATATTTTTTCGGGTTGAAAATGAGTGGAATAAGATTAGCAGGTCAAGCCTTGATCAGCTTCTTCCCATGACTGGCATCCAAGAGGAAGAAGAGATGTTAATTGAAACCAACAACCACATTGTATAGTGTATTTAGCAACAAATTTCAACCTTGAGTTTCTTTTCTTTGATTCTAAGCTTAGGTTAGCTAACATCATACTTCCAAGTTCCAACTTAACTCTCAAGCCATCACAATTACATTTCTAAAGCACAAGTTCACGTTTTGACCTATTTTCCCAGTCCAGATCTTTCTTATCATCCAAGTTTTGTTTCAAAACTCAATCCTCTCCTTTTCTAATGTTTGAGATCAACACAAACAAAGGGTCATTTGAATTTGTTTGTATAAAAATATATATATATATATATATATGAATTTATTTTTAAGTTAAATCTTCAATATGCTACTTTTTCAAACTAAAATTAAAACACAAATTTACTTTCTTTTTTTCTTACATCAAACTCACTACATTTGGATGGAGTATCAAAGAAAAAGTTAGACGACATTTGATTGAATGGATTTGATAAAACTAGATTAAGTGTTTTTTAAATGAATTTAACTATACACAAGGATGTTTTCTTCTTCTTCTTCTTTTTTCTGAATTTATTTTCGGCAATGAATTATAATAGTTTAAATAAATAATTTAATTTTGTAATGTTACCTAAATCTCTATACTTTTTTTTGCCAAACTTTAGAAGGTGTCAAGGTAGTTTCAAACCTGAAACGATTGATATTCAAATCAAACTCCTTTTCCACAAGAATAAATTTAGTTGACTTATATATCAATTCTATCGAAACAAATAAACCTTTTAACTCATTGAGTTTAAATATTTTTATTTTATAGCATAATGATCCACTATATTTTTGCTTTATGATTATCCACAGGCACGGGTGAAAATGTTTTGGGAGTTTCACTAAAACACCCAAAATGGGGGTTGAAATTATAAAAAAACTCAAGCACTATTTAAACATATAAACACACCCAAAATCCATCATTACATACACTCAAAACCCATTTATAAACACACCCAAAAAGTTGACTTTGGGGTTGATTTTGGGTGTGTTTCTATGTTTAAATAGTGCTTGGGTTTTTTTATAAATACATGTCTAGAATTGGGTTTATTTCTAAATTTGTAAAATGTTTTTAGATAATTTCAAACAAAAAATTTGCTTTTTTTAACAATCGTTTTTTTTGTGTGGGTCCGAAAGCTAGTTTGGTTTAAAAATAAAGAGACAAAAGGGCACAAATAAATAGATCAACGGCCAGGACTAGTTGATTCATATCGAACGGTCACAATGAGTTCTACGATCACCGCGTCTGACAAACGCAATACATCTTTCCTGGCGCCAGTAGGAAAGTCCAGCCTACGCTAACTATATATATACAAGTGGAGCTCCAAGACAGTGAGATCAAAGCTTCGCTTACAATTAGGGTTTCAATCGCAACGAAAGCAAAAGGCATTTTCTTTCTTTCTCCGTAATCGTTTTCTTTCTCTTTGATCGTTCGTCCATTTGGATTGACTGCGCTTCGAAATCAGTCCAAACGGTAATCAAATCGCTTCAAAGCTCAAAGCTCTCGCCCAATCGAATCGATCAGGTTTGCTTCTTCTCTTCTCTTCACGCGTCTCTGCAATCGCATTGTTCCTTCTAGGGTTTTGTTCCTTTTCGACCGTTATTTCATACCCAAGAGGCTATTTTTTTCGCCGAACGCGTCTTTCACGAGGATAATGGTTTTTGGTTATGGGTTTGATACAGCACGCTCAAGCTGGATATTTAGGGTTACTTTTATTGTTGTTTAGGATACGCCTCGGGATCGGTGACTGGTTTGTTTGAAAAGTTTTCGAATTGATTTAAAGGATTTGAAGAATCCGCCATCGCTAGTTTCTCGATTCTTAGAGGGTGATCGTACATCGAATTGGATTTCAAGGCTTACTGGTTTTGTAAATTTTTAGTGTTATTGGAAGATCGGCGAAATATTGGAATTTGAGAATCTGGGTTGTGTTGATAGTTAGGGTTTCTCTTTTGGTGGGAGTTCTTCGAGGCTTTATCAGTGCGATTTCTTATTGGTTTCTAAATTTGTGTTTATAGTATGGCCACTAAGGTAGTGAGGAGGCACACCACTAGACCAGAAAGATCAGTGTATGCTCGACCAGCAGGAGGACCTTCAAAAACCGTTTGCTCCTTTTGGGCTGCTGGAAGGTGCACAAGGGAATTCTGTCGATTCCTGCACGCGGATGCACCGCCTTCATCCATGAACCCGCAAATTTCAAAGAAGTCGTCTCTTGTTTGGACGAAGGACGGAACTGCCACGGGAAAGGGCAATGCATGCAATGTGCCTCAGAAAAGCAATGCTCCTCAGAAAAGCAATGCTGCCCAGAAAAGCAATCCTACTCAGAAAAATGTCTGCAAGTTCTGGGTAGATGGAAATTGTGTGAAAGGTGATCGATGCCTGTATTTGCATAACTGGTTCCGTGGTGAGGGATTCTCCATGTTGGCAAAGCTCCAAGGGCACACGAAGGTATTTTTAATTTTGGAAGTACGTTTTCTTTTTTAAATTGTTTTGTTCCTCTTTATTTCCGAGTTTGGACAGTCTTAATAATTGTGAAATTTATGTTAACAGGCTATCACTGGTATTGCCCTTCCTGAACGAACTAACAAGCTTTATTCAACCAGTAAAGATGGAACAGCTAGAGTTTGGGACTGCCATACTGGTGAATGTGGCAGTGTGATTGATCTTGGTGGTGAAGCAGGTTCTTTAATTACTGAGGGCCCATGGGTTTTTGCTGGTGTACCAAATCTTGTTAAGGTATTTCATTGTTGTAACTGGAGTACTTTTTTTTTAGTAGCTTGGTCGGTTCAACTTCAATATGTATGCTGATTTTGCTTGATGTTGCAGGTTTGGAATACTGAGACAAATTCTGAATTCAACCTGGATGGACCTGTTGGCCAAGTACATGCAATGGTGGTTGGTAATGCAATGCTTTTCGCCGGGACACAGGTAAAGTGCCTAACAATTCTGCCGCTTTCCTAATTATTTCATAGCTGGGCTTTTAGGATGTATGTTCCTCCCTTTATTCATAGTGCACCGTTTTCATTTGATTTATCTGTTTCTTTAATATTGCAGAATGGTGATATATGTGTGTGGAAAGGTAGCACTGAAACTAATCCGCCATTTCAGCCTGCTGCAATTCTGAAAGGCCACACTGGTGCTGTGGTATGTTTGACTGTTGAGCGCAACAGGCTTTACTCGGGTTCTGTGGACCATACAATTAAGGTAAGTTTGTGGAATCTACAAACAAGTTTTGTCAGCGTCTACTATATGTCCTCTTCCCCATTTACAAAATAGCAAAATGATTTATTCTGTTTTAGTTTGTTTTTGTGGTGTTTTTATTTTAATAAAGAAAATTCCAATGATCTGATTATGGAGTGCTTATGTATTCAAAGTCCTAGGGTTATTCACTGTAATGTTCTTTTTGTTTCAGGTGTGGGACCTTTATACTTTGCAGGAAGTTCTGACACTAAATGGGCATTCTGGCGTGGTGATGTCTCTTCTTTGTTGGGATCAGTTTTTGTTCTCATGCTCATTGGACGATACGATAAAGGTGTGGGCTGCCACTGAAGGAGGCGGTTTGGAAGTGACCTACACTCACAATGAAGAGCACGGTGTTCTTGATCTTGCTGGTATGACAGACCCAGAAAGCAAGCCAATCTTGCTTTCCTCTTGCAATGATAATTCTGTCCGCATATATGAACTGCCGTCATTCGCTGAAAGAGGCAGATTATTTGCAAAACAAGAAGTTCGGACGGTCAAGGTAGGACCTGGAGGACTATTCTTCAGTGGGGATGCAACTGGTCTCCTTTCTGTTTGGAAGTGGATGGATCCTCCTGCCGCAGTCAAAGTGGAGTCTTCATGAGTTACTTTACTGCAGCCAGTTCCGTGAATATTTTATTTCCGTCAGCTTGCAAGAGCCATTGCTATGGTGGCCGTGAAACATCAATGAACAAATGTAGCAATCCTGTATCTAAAGCCAGTCAGCTATTCAAATTAGTTGTGTTCATTTCTGTGGGGATCAATTTTTAATACATGATCCCTCTGTGATGTCTGTTCTTACACTGTTAATGTACAGTGAAATTTTTCAATCTGAAAAATGATTCATTGTTGAGAATTTAAAGTCATTATAAATGCAATTCTAATTTTGAATTTACTTACCCCTTCCAGTCTATGTCATTCGAGGGATTCAAACACAATCTAAGATTGGTGGCTGTTTTTGTAAAAGAAATCCAATCTTTTTTTATTTTTTCGGGTCAATAAGAACTTTTATTAAAGGAGGTAAAAGAAAGGGAGACTTTGGAAAAACTCAAAAGAGAGAGAAATTTTGTAAAAGAAGTCAAAATGGACAAATTTGCCTTTATTTATTTTTGAATTTCCTAAGAAATCATTTACACTTGCATGTCTTTGATTTGAAAGTTGAGAGGTTTTTCTGTTTTTTTTGAAATTTTTTTGGCTTTTTCCAAAAGTGAATTTTTTTTTTTTATGGCTAAAACCTAAATTTACTTAAAAGAAATCCAATCTGAGATAGCTGCCACACTTGGCACTCGAAGGAGTTGGAGGCGAGACTTGTTCATTCGAGGATTTGAATTTAAGACCTCATTTAATGATGTTAATTTAGGAGGTCTATTTAGGAGCTCATTTAACGAAGTCAACATCTGATTAGACATAGACTATTACCAAAATAATAAATGAAAATTAAGGGTGCATTTGAATTTGACAACCAAGATGTATCTTTCAATGTGGGTCTCCATATAGTGGATCTTGTAATGTTGTCTAAATCTCTGTATCTTAGTATTTTTTTTTTTTTTTCAAAAGTTAGGAAGGGAAAGGGTATTCAAATATTATCGAGGTTTCAAAGAAGTTTGAACTTGAGACCACCTGATGCAAATCAAACTCTTTTTTCACATGACTAGACTTTGTTAACTTATATATGAGTTCTCTCGATCCAAATAAGCCTTTTAACTCCTTGAGTTTAAATATTTTTATTTTATTAAACACTAGCATGCTGATCTACTATATTTTTACTTTGTGATTTTCCAGAGGCATGGGTGAAAATGTTTTAGTAACATAATTTCAAACAAAGAAATTGTTTTTGATAAAAAGTTAGGTTTTTTTCTGTCCGAAAGCTAGTTTGGTTTAAAAATAAATAAAGAGAAAACGACAAAATTAGATTAGATCTAACGGTCAGGAATAATTGATTTATATCGGACGGTCACGATCAGTTCTATGATCACCGCGTCTAACGAACGCAATACTTCTTTCCTGGCGCCAGTTGGAAAGTCTCCAGCCTACGCCAACTATATATATACACATAGAATAGAAGATCAGCTTCAGGCCAGAGTGATCAAAGTTTCGCTTACAATTAGGGTTTCAATCGCAACGAAAGCAAAAGGCATTTTCTCTCTTTCTCTGTGATCGTTTTCTTTCTCTTTGATCGTTCGTCCATTTGGATTGACTGTGCTTCGAAATCAGTCCAGACGATAATCGAATAGCTTCAAAGCTCAAAGCTCTCGCCCAATCGAATCGATCAGGTTTGCTTCTTCTCTTCACGCGTCTCTGCAATCGCATTGTTCCTTCTAGGGTTTCGTTCGTTTTCGACCGTTAATTGATACCCAAGAGGCTTTTTTTTTTTTCGCCGAACGCGTATTTCTTGAGGATAATGGTTTTTGGTTATGGGTTTGATGCACGCTCAAACTGGATATCTAGGGTTTCGATTTTAGGGTTACTTTTATTGTTGTTTAGGATACGCCTTGGGATCGGCGACTGGCTAGTTTGAAAAGTTTTCGAATTGATTGAAAGGATTTGAAGAATCCGCCCTCGCTAGTTTTCTCGATTCTTAGAGGGTGATCGTACGTCGATTTGGATTTCAAGGCTTATCGGGCTTCGTATATTTTTAGGGTTTTCTGAAGATCGATGAAATATTGAAATTCTGTTTGAGGGGGTGATCTTCAAAGCTGTCTCTCTACGATTTCTTATTGGTTTCAAAATTTGTGTTTATAGTATGGCCACTAAGGTAGTGAGGAGGCACACCAATAGACCAGAAAGATCAGTGTATGCTCGACCTGCAGGAGGACCTTCAAAAACTGTTTGCGCCTTTTGGGCTGCTGGAAGGTGCACAAGGGAATTCTGTCGTTTCCTGCACGCGGATGCACCGCCTTCATCCATGAACCCTCAAATTTCAAAGAAGTCGTCTCTTGTTTGGACGAAGGAAAGAACTGCCACGGGAAAGGGCAATGCATGCAATGCTACTCAGAAAAGCAATGCTCCTCAGAAAATCAATGCTCCTCACGAAAGCAATGCTCCTCAGAAAAGCAATGCTGCCCAGAAAAGAAATGCTACTCCGAAAAATGTCTGCAAGTTCTGGGTAGATGGAAATTGTGTGAAAGGTGATCGATGCCTGTATTTGCATAACTGGTTCCGTGGTGAGGGGTTCTCCATGTTGGCAAAGCTCCAAGGGCACACGAAGGTATTTTTAATTTTCGAAATATGTTTTCTTTTTTAATTTGTTCTGTTCCTCTTCGGAAATAATAATTGTGAAATTTATGTTAACAGGCTGTCACTGGTATTGCCCTTCCTGAACGAACTAACAAGCTTTATTCAACCAGTAAAGATGGAACAGCCAGAGTTTGGGACTGCCATACTGGTGAATGTGGCAGTGTGATTGATCTTGGTGGTGAAGCAGGTTCTTTAATTAGTGAGGGCCCATGGGTTTTTGCTGGTGTGCCAAATCTTGTTAAGGTATTTTATTGTTGTAACTGGAGCACTTTTTTTTAGTAGCTTGGTTGGTTCAACTTCAATATGTATGCTGATCTTGCTTGATGTTGCAGGTTTGGAATACTGAGACAAATTCTGAATTCAACCTGGATGGACCTGTTGGCCAAGTGCATGCTATGGTGGTTGGTAATGAAATGCTTTTCGCCGGGACACAGGTAAAGAGCCTAACAATTCTGCAGCTTTCCTAATTATTGCGTAGCTGGGATTTTAGGATATATGTTCCTCCTTTTATTAATAGTGCACCACCTCAAATTTCAAAGAAGTCATCTCTTGTTTGGACGAAGGAAAGAACTGCCACGGGAAAGGGCAATGCATGCAATGCTACTCAGAAAAGCAATGCTCCTCAGAAAATCAATGCTCCTCACGAAAGCAATGCTCCTCAGAAAAGCAATGCTGCCCAGAAAAGAAATGCTACTCCGAAAAATGTCTGCAAGTTCTGGGTAGATGGAAATTGTGTGAAAGGTGATCGATGCCTGTATTTGCATAACTGGTTCCGTGGTGAGGGGTTCTCCATGTTGGCAAAGCTCCAAGGGCACACGAAGGTATTTTTAATTTTCGAAATATGTTTTCTTTTTTAATTTGTTCTGTTCCTCTTCGGAAATAATAATTGTGAAATTTATGTTAACAGGCTGTCACTGGTATTGCCCTTCCTGAACGAACTAACAAGCTTTATTCAACCAGTAAAGATGGAACAGCCAGAGTTTGGGACTGCCATACTGGTGAATGTGGCAGTGTGATTGATCTTGGTGGTGAAGCAGGTTCTTTAATTAGTGAGGGCCCATGGGTTTTTGCTGGTGTGCCAAATCTTGTTAAGGTATTTTATTGTTGTAACTGGAGCACTTTTTTTTAGTAGCTTGGTTGGTTCAACTTCAATATGTATGCTGATCTTGCTTGATGTTGCAGGTTTGGAATACTGAGACAAATTCTGAATTCAACCTGGATGGACCTGTTGGCCAAGTGCATGCTATGGTGGTTGGTAATGAAATGCTTTTCGCCGGGACACAGGTAAAGAGCCTAACAATTCTGCAGCTTTCCTAATTATTGCGTAGCTGGGATTTTAGGATATATGTTCCTCCTTTTATTAATAGTGCACCATTTTCAATTGATTTATCTGTTTCTTTTAATATTGCAGAATGGTGATATATGTGTGTGGAAAGGTAGCACTGAAACTAATCCGCCATTTTATCCTGCTGCAACTCTGAAGGGCCACACTGGTGCCGTGGTATGTTTAACTGTTGGGCGTAACAGGCTTTACTCGGGTTCTGTGGACCATACAATTAAGGTAAGTTTGTGGCATCTACAAACAAGTTTTGTCAGCTTCTACTTTATGTCCTCTTCTCTATTTACAATAGAGGGAGCAAAATGATTTATTCCAATAATCTGATTATGGAGTGCTTCTGTATTCAAATTCCTCGTGTAATTTACTGTAATGTTCTTTTTGTTTCAGGTGTGGGACCTTTATACTTTGCAGGGTGTTCTGACACTAAATGGGCATTCTGGTTCGGTAATGTCTCTTCTTTGCTGGGATCAGTTCTTGCTCTCGTGCTCACTGGACGACACGATAAAGGTGTGGGCTGCCACTGAAGGAGGCGGTTTGGAAGTGACCTACACTCACAATGAAGAGCAGGGTGTTCTTGATCTTGCCGGAATGACAGATGCAGAAAGCAAGCCAATCTTGCTTTCTTCTTGCAATGATAATTCTGTCCGCATATATGAACTGCCATCATTCACTGAAAGAGGCAGATTATTTGCAAAACAAGAAGTTCGGACGGTCGAGGTAGGACCTGGAGGACTATTCTTCAGTGGGGATGCAACTGGTCTCCTTTCTGTTTGGAAGTGGATGGATCCTCCCTCCGTCAAAGTGGAGTCTTCATGAGTTACTTTACTCCATCTAGTTCCGTGAATATTTTAGACAAGAACATTTCCTTCAGTTTGCATGAGCCATTGCTATGGTGGCCGTGAAGGCATCAATGAACAATTGTAGCAATCCTGTATCTAAATTTTTGACAGCCAGTCAGTTATTCAGATTAGTTTTGTTCATTTATGTAGGGATCAATTTTTAATACATGATCTCTAGGATGCTTGTTCGTACACTGTAATGTACAGTGAAAGTTTTCATTATTGAGAATTTAAATTCATGATAAAAGCAAAATTCTTTGGATTTAACTGTCTTCATAATGGTGTCTGTTTATATTAGTTTTGAATTTACATTGTGGATTATCAAATGTATGAGAGCCTGAGCAGAACTAATGTATAAAAAAAATCAATATTTTTGCTCATCATTATAACCCAAGGTATACTCAGTATTTGACACGCGTCCATAATGACCGTGGTTATACCCATAGAGGGAGAGTACACCTTGACTAAAGTGATGTGGTTATACCCATGGAGGGAGAGTACACCTTGACTAAAGTGATGAGCAAACACGTTCTCATAAAATAAATCCAATCTAATGGCTGCCACGCTTTTCAAGTTAGGACCTCATCTAACAAGTGAAAATATGGTTAGACATAGACTATTACCAAAATAATAAATAAAAATGAAGGGTCCATTTCAATTTGACAACCATATACAGAGATAAAATTTATCAATTGCAAAGAACATCATTTTGGCAATTGAAACGTAAGATGTATCTTTCAACTTCATCTTCAACCAGACAACCATATACAATGGGTCTACAAATTACATAACAGCTTGTACTAACAAACAGCTACCTCAGACCCAAAGATTTAACCCATCCACGTGAAGACAAAATAATCAAATAAAAGGTATACCACCACTGGGCTTAAATTCATATTTATACAGGTTTGTCTTGTACAAGCTCGTTTGCCTTGTTCAAATGGGAGAACATACATTAGGAAATTATATAATCTTCCCACAAAAATAGAAACAAAATAGGCTCGCAACATTTCAAGCATAGATCATCACCTCCACCTCCATATGAGATACACAACAATGACAACAGTCAGAATCATGCCTGCATACTTGATCGACTGATCAACACGGTTCCGCCTCTCAATGAGCTTCAAAACAGAGTTAGAGAGACCCACTGTGTTCAGGACATCCAATCCTTTTCGTTGTGCGCTCTGAAACAAGTCAACAGAGAATTCACCATTATTTTAACAAGCATTAGTAGCAGCAAACATGTAATACATCACTAACTGTTATGTATCAAAGCTCTTGGCCTTTTCGATTTCCTTTTTCTTTTTACCCATATCGAGTTCAATTTCCTATGACTTGACTTCCAATTGCTACAAAATTCATTCTAAAGGGAAAGATGGAAGATTAAAATCCAATGGAAGAAATTACATGTTTCTTTGATCTTGTTCAACTCTATTATGAGGCAATCATGGATTCCAACCTTCATCAATACAGCAAAGTGCCCGAGGTCAGTGAGTTAAGCCTCTGAAATTCTCTTGGTATATGAAAGCATTGTTGAGTTCTTTTTCAAATTTATGTTGAGGCAATGGAGTATTCCAATTATCATCAATGTATCAAAGTGCTCAAGGTCAGGGAGTTGAGCCACCTGAGGTCTCTTGGTTACAATTCATCATATATTTAATTCTATAACTAGGGAAGTGCTATATCAAAGTATTTTCTCTGTAGGTATGGGTGGTGAGATTATCACACTTAGCTAGTTTTCAAATCATTCAGTATGAATCATATCAGACTGTGTTTCAAGTAGAACTTAGTTGCAGGGTATTTATGATAGTTGGTGACTGATAGACTACTGTCATGCATTGAGTGATTAAAATTATTGGTTTCAGTTATCCTAATTTGTTCATTGTTTAAGTTCCCTATTCTCTACTTCCTCGCTAATTCTATCTCTTTTCCTGCATCACATATACTCATCTAAAAGAATTGTCCTTGCTATGAATCATATCCTGCCGTTTGACTGTTGAAAATTAATTAAAATATCAAATGCCAACTCAATCAATTTTCTAACAGTACAAAGCTGTCCTATCATAGTAATTAGAATATTCTATAAAACCAGAGTATCTACTCATTGTGCACAATTTTAAAGAAGAGCTACTGTTAACTGTAAGCTTATTAATGAATGTTTTAACTATATTCAAGAGACAAATTGCAATTGCACTATCGTTTTTCTTTCAATAATTGGTGCAAAGTGAGGTGCATAACAGTGAGCACGAATATGGGTGATACCTTTAGCCAATCCCTTTGTTCTGCATATTTCCTAAGAATACTTTCTCCAGTAGCACTGGCTTCTTCAAGCATGCGAGAAGAACTACGAACTGACGCCCTTGCTTGCGCCTCATCATCAAAGATTCTCAAAACATGAGCACCCTCCCCATTCTACATCATAAGACAAAGGCATATTAAACAAAGGCATACATCAGAATGAGGTAGTAAACAAAAAGTAAAAGGGTTGGGAGTTGCGTACAGCTCTTCCAAGCAACTCTGCCCTCTCTCTGGCTTCTTGGGCCCTCTTCTGATTCCTCAAATTATACTTATCCAGACTTTCTTTCAAAGACTGAGCCTCTTCCGCTATTTGTTCTACTTTTCTGCGTAACAAGAAGCAAAATAGGATCCAGTTAAAGAAACCCAATTACAATTACAACCACAATATACAAAAATGACAAAAAAAAACCCACCTCAATGCTAAAGGAATTGATGATGATTAAAAAAAACACTATTCCTATTACAATTATAACATACAAAAATGACAAAAACCCAACTCAAGACTCAAGGAATTCATGAACAAAAAAACCAAGTCCAATTACAATTAAATGCAAAAGAAAAAAACCCAAATCAAGGTTCAAGGGATCAATGAAAGAAAACCAACCTTTTCCAGAGATCGCGTTGGGATTTGGCGCCAACAGATCGCCAGAGGCGGTCCATCTCGGCGCAGAAGGACTGAATCTGAGAAATGTCTCTTTTGACGGACGTGGAAAGGTCCGGGGAGTCGATGCCACCTGCGTTCTCCAATCTCTCCAGCTTCTCAAGGCCGTCTCTTGTTCTCAACAATAGCTTCTTGGCGCTCTGATATATCTCCGATAACGTCCCTCCTCCGATTTCCACCGACATTGCCATTACAATTGCAATTCCGATTGGTGACGTTTCTCTCTTTCTTTCTCTCTTTCTGGGTTTCACCGCAGAATTGAATTGAATTGAATTTCGATTGATTTTGGTCACCGCAGCACAGGTAGGTACCTTAATTCAGGGGTTTATGTATGAGAGACCTGAAGAAGAAATGAGGAAACAGAGAGAAGACAATGGAGGCTAAAGGCCCAAACTAACAACAGATCACTCTAGCTGAAATTCAAGCCCAGTTTATCAAGTGTAGATAGACCCAAATCAAAGCACAAAATGGAAATGGCAAGCCCATTTGTAGTGTAGGCTACATCAACCTAATCCTCAATACCTGCTCTGCTTTTAGAAAATTGGCCAACTGTAGGACATAAACTAAAGTTCATAATTCAGCAGTGTAGTTGGATAAATATCGACGAATGTTTTCCAAACCAAGTTGTTATTCGCACCTCAAAAAAGTCGTTGTGTATCATTTTTATATTAATTTTCTAAATGAGTTTTCTTTGTTACATTGGAGAAAAGAAATTCTATTGGATTCGATGCTTCTATGTGTCATGGGAGAGGGGGAATCCACCACCAATGTGATGGAAACTAATTAGCTTTATTGAATGAGTTTAATAATACATGTGGAGTGCATAATGACTAATTTAGAGTGTGAATAACAGTTTTTTATCTGTAAGGAATGAGAATTCAAACTTAGATATAGAGGTGTCGAATGTGCCGGATCCGTCCAACACAGCACAAACTTAGCCCATTTAAATGGGGTACGGCATGGCTCAAGTACGATTATTGACTGCCCGTGCTAAGCATAACACAAAAGCCTAGGTCATGCCGGGATTAGAAAATTAAGCCTAATGGATTGAGTTGCCCGACATGGGCCGTGCTTGGCCCGAACCTGCTTCAAGCTTGGCCTGACCCATTTAAGAATTTTTTTTTTGTCAAGACGCACTTTACATAAACCTCCTTCCCCTCTTGATATCTACACATATGGATTTTGATTTGGAGGCCAATAAATAAATACTACAACAAATCCTCAATTTTTAGTCCCATATTACATATAAGAAAGATATGAACATATTATTTTATTTTATTTTTGTATAAATTTAATATGCTAACATGAATTTTTTGTTTAAAGAAATTCAAGAATTAAAAAAATAAAGTTAAATGAGCCAAGCACGTCACAAACACGGCCCGGTTGATATTTTGCCCTAATAGAGATATTAGGCTAATAAAAGTCTCAATGTTGATTTGCTAACATAATTATAAAAAAATCTCAAAGTTGATTCTCTAATTTGGTTGGTTTCTCCACTCATTCCGTGTTTGCTTTTGACCTACAAATTTGTCTTTTTAAACACAAGTTTCACATGGACCTAAAAGTCAGCTATCTTACAGTTGATTTGATCATCTTATTTTAATTTTAGTCTATTCATCTGCTTTTAGAGCGTGCTTTTATTTAAAGTCAAGACAGGTGTAATTGGAAGAGTTAAGAATATTCCTAAGAACATCAATTTCCACTTCCATGGCTTATGTTTTTCTGGCTTGTCTATATGGCTCATGCTCATTCTAGCTTCCTGACCACAATTTTAAATTGCTATTTTTTCTTTTCTTTTTTACCCAGAAATATTAATAAATAAGATTAGTGATGTCATAATATCGTAAATTCACTGAAAAAAAAATGGAAATGAGAATATTCCAAGTGGCCGGCCCATATAAATTTATATGATTAAGGAAAATGAACATGTGAATGCATAAGACGGACGAGACAGAAAGTACGTGCCACCAAATTGACCTATTTATATTTTCTGTCCCTAGTAAATTAATGGGCCACGTGGAAGATAAGGTATCCTAACAAAAAGATTTGTTCTTATAAAGCCATACAATTACCAGCTTTCTTTCAACTTTTATGTTTCACACCTCATATATATATTATGTGGCATGCAATACACAACACGTGGAATTTTCTGGTTTGTTAATTTTTTATTTTTTTTGGTAAATATCATGAGGTGTCTCCACATCCGAATGATGAGATTAACTGTTTTTTCCCCCTCTCTGGGTGTGCTTGTATTTTTGGATTGATAATTTGAACACAAACTTTAACAAGTGCTAATT